TTAATTACTTAGAAATTTGGGGATGCTTTCTTTATGGTTCTCTCAGGCATTTTTTGTTTCATTTGTGAAATGAATTATGTCAGTTAAGCCTTTTAAAAATACTATCGAAACTCGGGTTTTTTTAGTATAACAGCATGACAGGGTATGGTGGGGTTTTATTATTTCAATATTATTTTCAAAATGGTGACAGTGAATACTGTGTGGAAAAGGATCATCTTTCCAGCAGGCCCATTAGCTTGAAAATAAATAAATAATAACCCCTTTATCTGGAAAATGGCTTTTGATATGCTTGAGTCGCCTTATCAAGAGGGTAACAAAACAGAAAAGCAAAGAAAATACAATATCCTCGGGAGAATATTTGTTTTCTGCATCCCCTAGAGATGTGATTAATCATTGGGGGGTTGGGGGGGACCGTAAAATAGGTTTTAACAGTTTCAAAAATTTGCAAAATTACTCCCAATAAAGATATTTACAAGGAATTCATAATTTGAAGTGAATTGCTTTGTGATACAGTAGAGAAATTCTGAACTTGGGAGACCTGAGGGTAATTTTTCATAAGCTGCAGGTTTACCTTAGCAGGTTTCTTACTCTTATGGTTTTTAGGTTTGTTATGTGTAAAAATGAGAGAGAGATGACCGGCTGGATGAAGTCCTGGAGTGACCACCTCTCCTCTTATCTGAATCATTTGAAATCCCCAGAGTTTGGAACTGTCATCTCAATTTCTTGGGGCTGAGAAATAACTGACACCAACTTGCTTTCCCAGGGGGTACAGTCTTGCAGCTGCTCAGAAAATACCTGTCGCTGTCCTCTGGCTGGAATCAGCCCATCCTGCACAGAGGCCGCGGCTCCTTATGCCTCGTTGTGCCTAATGTTCTTGGTTTTCTATGTGGAGTGACGTTGTTATGCTGCAGTGAGAGGCTCCAAAATGAAGATTTTTTTTTTTTAAGCAGAGGAAAACAAAATTTAAGGAAAGAAGCTTTCTTAATTCAAAGTTAAAACAACCTTTGGCTGGCTCACTCATGTTTAGAAAGAACTATCTCTTTGACTCACTGTTCTGATGGTTATTTTTTACTAGTGGCCCAGTGCATGAATTCGTGCACATTGAAAGGAAATTAATTAGAAGATTCATGCGGTAATTACGTTACTGCAAAAAATTACATGTCAAAATAGTATATATACTATTTACATGTATCATGCATGTGCGAGTCAATGTTTTAAACTAGAGGCCAAGTGCACAAATTTTTGCATGGGTGGGGTCCCTTGGGGTGGCCTGCGAGGATTGGACCCCAGCTCACACCCCCAGCCTCACAGCCCTACAGCCCTGCCTGGCACCCCGCCTTGGCCTGGCACCACCCCCTCACCTGCTCCACCATCCCGCCTGCAGGACGATTGATCGGTGCTGGGAGGCAGCCCCGCCCCCCACTGCCACCTCTGGTCACCCTCTGCAGGGTGATCGGCAGGGCAGTTGGGCCCCACTTGCACCGCCTTGGCCTGGCGATGCCCGCTCACCTGCTCTACCAACCCGCTGCGGTCCCACTTTCGTTGGGGCCCATCGGTGCTGACAGTACCTCCATTGCTGCCAGCTGCTGGCACCTGCCATGTTTTTGCGCCGCCCTCTGGTGGTCAGCACATGTCATAGCGAGTGGTCGAACTCCCGGTTAAGGGGACAATTTGCATGGCTTTTATTATATAGGATTGCCAGTGTGCATCATATGTACTGGCCTGTCGGTTGGGCAGACTGTCGGTCACTTAGCCTTTTATATATATAGATTTGTGGTGTTCCTGATGAAAGTTTCATATCAGAACACGCTAAAATAGTCCCTCTTAGGAGATCTCATGGGTGTTTGCAAAGACAGTCTGCTGTGGGTACTTTGGTGGCATTTGTCGTCTTTTAGGGTGAGAGGTATGCCGGCGGGGGGGGGCAGACCTGTTGCTAGTACTGGTTCCCGGGCTCCTTGCTGACCTGGATCTGCTGCACACCCATTCCCTCCGCTGCTGACAGCAAGAAGGGAGGATGGGGCCCGCCATCTCCATGTAATGCACCTGTGTGATGGACAGACTTTTTCTGTTACTCAAGTGGGCGCCTGTTACATCCCATGTGAGCACTTTATTTCCCTGTCCATTAAGGGTCCCGTAAAAGCTTCGTCATCCAGTTAAAGGGCGGTGCCTACAGTGGACACTCAAGAAGAATGCATGTGTAATGTCAGCTGTCTCATTTGGTTACAAGTAAGAGAGAAAAAAGGTGTTTTTGCTTTTTAACTTGAACCTGAGTATTGTGGTAGCAGTGAGCTATTGCAAATGGGAAAATAACACATAGACTTAAGCTTTGGCAATTGTCTAATTTTGTCTACTTATCCAGCACTGATGGCTACTGTATTATATACACAGATGCTCTTTGACTTACAGTGGGGTTACATCCCGATAAACCAACCCATTGGTAAGTTGAAAATATCGAAAGTTGAAGATGCACTTAATACTACACTGTAGAGTCCCAGTTGTTGACCCTTGTGATTGTTGCAGACCGGGAGCTGGCTCACTGCTGCTGCCCCCCACACAAGAGAGTGTGATACCACATATAGCCAGCCCAGGAAGAGAGCAGAATTCAAAGTACAGTGCCGACTAAGTGTGTATCACTTTTGCACCATCGTATAGTCAAGAAACTAAGTAAAATCATCATAAGTCAGGGATCGTCTATATATATAAATTACATTATAATTTTTTATGCTACTAAAAATAGAGGTTCTATTCCATCACTTTAGCAAATAGGAGGAGCCAGGGAGACCAGCTGGTTTGAGGCTAATGAATTAGAGGATTCTGAGCAGGTCTGCCAAGTGAGAGAGGAGTGGTCTCTGGTTGTGAGAACTGAAATGACTGAATGAGGGCCTGGGGACCCTTGGCATAAATATGATTTGGGGAGCTGGCAGTTGGGTGGCTGAGGAGAGAGTGAAATAAAAGAATGTGGAAGAGGAGCCCGTACCAGGGGGAGGTCACAGCCCCTCGCACAGGCCCACAAATGTGGACGGGAAGGTCCATAGCACAGTAGTTGATTGGAGCTCTGAGACATGGCAGCAGGGAATTTACAGACATAAAAGAGGAGACCGGCTAGAGAAAATGGCCAAACAGCAGCATTGGGCAAGAGGAAGAAAAGCTAGCAATGCATTGATTAGGAAGGTTGAAAAAAGGTACCACAAAGAAAGTTAAAAGGCAGGTTAGAGACTGAAAAGAAATACAAACAAAACATGACAGGAAAAAAGGATATTACTTTTAATGCAGGAAGAGATGCCCCAGAAATAAGGAAGGGGAAGAGGTGGTAAAAGAACAAATTGGAGTCTTGGGGGGCGGGGGGATGCCAGAGTTCCTTGCAGAAGAATTTGAAGTCCTAAGGGCAAAGGTGAAGCTAAGGCGATGGGTGTTTGTGGTGCGAGCTTGTTGCTGTAGACTTTAAGTTCATCTTTGTCTCCAGGGTTTAGTGCCGTGCCTGGCAAATAATGGACTGAGCAAATATTTGAATGAGTGGGATGGAAGTAAAGGTCTTGACACTGAGGGATAAAGTGTAAGGTCAGCATGCTAGACAGGTCATCAGTTTCACTGATGAAAGTCACTGGATAAAGTCGTGATGCTGTGGTTCGAGTGCTTCACATTCTCCCCCAGTCTGAGTGGAAGGCCCTCAATTTTAGCTCATCAGCCCCTGCAAATCACTCTTACTCCGCATTTACTTGTACCACCCACAGAGTTACACTTTATCAGAGGCTGCTAATTGCCACTACATTAGCTTTAAATAAAACTGTGCTCCTCTGATAATTTTGAACTCTGCGGAGTATTCTTCTCCATGATTCCTAAACTGTCAAATTTATCTGTTTCTTAGTATTTTTATCCAAGTCAGAAACAAATGCTTCTTATACTACTATTGGCAGGTTTCAAAAACCTGCCAGACTTGTAGGCACATATTGTGGCCTGTGATGCCTTTTTCCAAATCTGCATTCCCGCCCCTCCCTCCCCTCCTTTATTTCCAAGCATCTTTCTACAATAGGACTGCTACCTAAAAACGCTTTGGATAAAATGTGGCTGCAAGTAACACTAAGTGTAAAGGCTTCTGTCCTTGAACTGTAACTTGTGAGGTCAGCAAGACATTTCTAAGCTGGGCACGTTCTAGATGTCATTTTGGGGTAAAGAAACCATGTTTACCCAAAGAGAAGGCTATCTATAGATTTTCTGTCCAAAAGGGGCCTTATCAGCTTGTGATGGCTTATCGCTGTTCTGTGGCTTATCATTTACATAGCATTTAATATTCTTTCTTATCCTTTTACTCCTCTTATCAAAAAAAGTGAAGAATATAGAAATCTTAACTGAACTTGCCTGAGGTTGCTTAGATTCAGGAAGGTTTTATGAGCCTTAATTAAAAATACTGGAGAAAAATGTCTTTGTTTGACCTGAATAGGATTTCTGTGTTTCTCCATCTACTTTCTAAGCTAATATGTTTTGTTGTTGCTAACATTAATTTCACTGTTGTACATAGAAAAATGAAGGCAAGTCGAGTTATCTTAATATTTAAAAAGGCGGTTGAATGTGAACTTCGTTTTCTAGAAAATAAATCTCCCTAAACTGAATTGTTTGGCAGGGTGGCCAAATCTGACTTCTTGCAATGCTGGAAACGGAAAACAAATGTGTGTTTTCTGTGCACCTTGTGAGGCCACATTTTAGGGATGAAGAACTGAGGCTGAGGGAGGATGAACAGTATGTCCAAGGTCCCCTAGCTAGACAGCTGTGAAGTAAGAATTCAAATTCAAGTCTCCCTACTTTCAGACACCTGTGCTTTCCACTGCTCCACACTATCTACTGCCACACAAGCCGAGAGCTGCTCCACCGTCAGAGACCCTGCTGGTTTCCACTGTGCTGCTCCACATCTGGAAGAGAGAACTGTTGCCTGTTTCCCATGGAAAAGCATGCAGGTGTTGACGAGGTGGTGCTAACTCTCACCATTCTGCTCTCTTGTGTTCTAGATTTTCTACCCTAGCAAGGATGGTACCAAGATTCCAATGTTCATCGTGCATAAAAAAGGCATAAAATTGGACGGCTCTCATCCTGCCTTCTTATATGGCTACGGCGGCTTCAACATCTCGATCACACCCAACTACAGGTAAGCATGGACCATGATCCCCTCCATCCAGTGGAAGGAAACCAGAACCTCGTCTGTTAAATCACGCTTTTTTCTCATATAGTTAACCATACATTTCTTGGCTTGTCATTTTCATGGAGGGATAGGATTACATTAATTACATGCATTTTTGCTCAGGAATTCCAGGGTCATTACAAGCTGATGTCTTTAGTGGAACAGGTTGTTTGGGAACTAAATGCTGAAACTTTAGCTGCCAGAGTACAGAAGGTTAGTATCCATGGAGTTTTGAACAAAAGAAGTGCCTACCTTCCGTGTTTGGCATTTGCCCTCAGTATTCTCTTCATAAGGAAGGATTTTGCAGCTTCTGATGATATTTTTTCAGCAGCCAAGTCTTAAAATAGACTATCTTAACATTCAGCCATAAATATATTTTCTGTGTACTCTATTATTTGATCCATTTTAAACTGTCCTATGCAGTTTCTGTGATTATGTCCCAGTAATTACATTCAGGGAGAAAAAAAAAATCTAAATTTAAGCATTTGCTATTGTTTATATAAATGTCTCCTGCCAGTTCTTTGCAAACCTGATTTTACTATCCTATTCACAGTATAAAATGGAATTTGCTGGGCATCTCTATATATAAAAGCCTAAGCTACCGAACGACCAGAACAACTGAATGACCCGGTCAACCGGTCGCTGTGACACGCACTGACCACAGAGGGCAGACGCTCAGCGCAGGAGCTGCCCCTTGGTGGTCAGTGCGCTCCCACAGAGGGAGTGCCACTCAGCTGACCAGCCCAGCCCGGCAGCAGCCACTCACTCCCTCATTAGTCCTGTAGGTCCAGTCTCCGGAGGACGGGCCAGGCACCAGTGGATCGGCGCTGCTGGCATGATCCCAACAGCGCCACCCGCCTCTTGGAAGTCAGTCAGCCTTAGGCACTGCGACCGCTTCCCCTCCCTAGATGCTCCGCAAAGAAGAAACAATATAAAAGCAGCCGCCATGTGGCTCCTGACAAGTCAGCAGGATGGATCCTGGGCCAGCAGGGGCATCCCACCGTTCACCTGGAGGGCTGATCACATCCCAGCCCCCCACCCTTACCCGCCTTGGGACGGGCACGAGACACAGGGCTCATGGCTGGCAAGCGCCGCTGTAGCAGCACAAGCCTCTCCCTATCAGGACTGATTGGGCACTAGCCCACAGCAGGCACAGTGGGGCCAGGATGAGCGGGAGCAGCAGGCGGCGTTGCACTGCTGGTTTTGGCTCAATCCCCACAGGCCACAACAAGGGACCCCACCCGTGCACGAATTCGTGCACTGGGTCTCTAGTTTTTAATAAAAGCAAGGCAACTCCTACCAGCAAGATCAGTTTTAAGCCAACTTCCAAATAGTGCCCACCATGAAATCTGATTCTCAGATTCATCTTTATTTGGAAAGAAATGAGGGTGACTATTAGGACATGAATTCAGAGTAGATTCCAAATTTAAATGTTACTTTATTTCAAGTACTTGGTATCAGTAGTACATTCTGCTAATTATTTAGGGTTTAATGAAGTAGTTGATAGCCGAATTGTGAACTGTCTTGAACATCTGGCTAAAGAATTTGGTTTTGTTAGTGAGTAGCTGAAAAGGTGTGAAATCATTGTGTAGAACAGTATTTTCAGAAGATTAGTGAGGCATTATTGTATGAGTTGCTCTTCATTCATTGCACAATGACATCACCATTCTACATTCTAGGTTGCTTTCTCTATACCAAGCACCATGCGAGGCAAGGCCTGAGCCCACAGACGGGCTTCCTATCTCTTAGCAGAGTTTCTCAGGCAGTGAGATTTGCTGTTTCATTAGTATCCATGTCTGTGGTAAAACCAGAAGCCATATTTATTCTCGGTGTCTATTAGTCAAAGGATGCAGAGCAATAGCTGTTCACCTAATCCTTACAACAGAATATACAGTATGTCATTGTTTGCCCCTCTTCCCACCCAGAGTGATGAAATGCTTCAGTTTCCAGTTGCAGTGAGACCTGAATGTAGGCCAGTGAACATGTGCTTCACCTGATGGACAAGGCAGAGGCTTGTACCTTGAGCCCCATACCCTTGGCCTCCACAGGGTGGCAAGGAGCCAGACAACCCTGGTCCCTGAGCAGATCTGAAGTTAACATCATTTGTCTTTGGTCATTTGTGCAACAAGTATTTATGAAGCCTGCTGTGTTGAGAATCAGGAGATGAATAAAGAAGAGCCCCTAGCCACTTTCAGCCCAGAACCCGGTGGATGTGCTGATGGTTTCAGTGAAGACCATCAGAGGTGCATGAACAATATCTAAGAAAAAGACCAAGCAATTGAAGATCCATTTGGACAGTCTAGCATGATGGCATGCTCTCATCACCTACCCCGGCTTTCCTTTCCTCTTCATCCCCGAGATCCAGGAAATGCGCGGCAGGTTGCAGAAGCCCATGGTTTCCCCAGTTACTGTAAGGAAGAAGGATAAACTTATCAAAATAGTTCCCAAAATAGTTAAAATTTAATTTAAACTAACTGCAGCTAGAAAAAGAAATGTCACTCAGCATTTTTAGGACCAGAGTGGAAAGAGGAGGAGAAAAACATGAAATCCAAATTTTCCAAAGGACTTAATTCTTTTCCCTAGAAACTTGGTGCTGTAGTTTCTTCTGTTTATTTCTAGAAAACATTCTCCTGCCATGAGCTCTCCATTCTTACGTTCTAGTCTGTGTGTCCTTTACCTCCACCACCTCTCCTAATGTATGTTGTCTAGTTTAACAGCTGAGCTTCTGTAAAACTATTTAAAATCTGTGCTTCAGAAAGAGCTCCCTTTTTTCCAATTTGAACAATGTGGAGAGAGAGACTGGAAAAAAATAAAGGTAGCAGAGCAGGGGCCGTTACTGGTGTTCTGCGAGCCCAGCACCATTCACACTAGGCCTGTGTCACCTGGCTGGCAGTATCTTGTTTGCCAAGATAGATATTAAAAGATGTTCATTATGAAATGAGGGCCTCTGTTTTTCTCTGTCTGCATTATGAATTTTGTATTCCCACCTTGTATGGTGAAATATTTGCCAATATAGTACAGTGAGGTCTTCTGAATACTCATGAGCATGAATGAGCTTTGCAGTTAAACATTAACCAGAAGTTACACGTTTTGCTTTAATCAGGTAATAAAAAATGTTGGGCTCCGATTTAGAGGACATCACACATAGTGTTTGGGGGGATACATTTTATTTTTTTTGAAATGGAGGGAAATAATGTGGTCCTTGCTTGGCGGTTAATGGAAAGTTCACTATTTTTATTGTTTCTCAGTGTGTCCAGGCTTATCTTTGTGAGACATATGGGTGGCATCCTCGCAGTGGCCAACATCCGAGGAGGCGGTGAATACGGAGAGACGTGGCATAAAGGTGAGGTCTTTTCTCCACAGAAATGCCAATATGGCATAGTCCAGTGATGGCGAACCTTTTGAGCTCGGCGTGTCAGCATTTTGAAAAACCCTAACTTAACTGGTGCCGTGTCACATATAGAAATTTTTTGATATTTGCAACCATGGTAAAATAAAGACTTATATTTTTTATGTTTATTTTATATATTTAAATGCCATTTAACAAAGAAAAATCAACCAAAAAAATCACAGGTTTGCCATCACTGGCATAGTCAGAGCTATGTTTGAATGAGCAGAAGGAGCATTTCACTAAACAAATGAAAAGTAAGGATATTTTCAAACACATTGCAGGTACCACTTACCCTTTAAAAATAACTTCGTGTTGTTGTTTTTTATCTTTTTAATTGGTTAATAAAATTATATAGGTTTCAGGGGTACAGTTCTACAATACATTATCTGTATGTTGTATTGTGTTCACCACCCCAAGTCAAGTCTCCTTCCATCACCACATATCCCCCTTTACCTTCCTCTACCTCCCCCACAACTTCGCCTTCACACATTTTTTTTTCTTTTGTATCCTGTTTACCTATTTTTCAGAAACACTCACTCTAGACCAGCCGTCGCCAACCTTTCGGACCTCACAGTCCACCAGTGGTCTGCAGACATCGGTTGGTGACTGCTGCTCTAGACCATAATCAGAACTATTTGCTTTGTTGGCGGTGCAGCCAGTAGATTTTTATCTATCGCTATCAGAGTAAGCCGGGGGGTGTGGTGGGGGAGGCACTTTTGGCATTTTTTCTGCCTCCTGTTCGCCTGACTTTTACTGTTCATTATTTGGCTCTCTCAGACCTCAAAGCGAGTCATTTTTTCTTCAAAGAAAAGAACAACCTAAACTAGAGCTTTCCTGTTCTCAGTGTGGGCATCCTTTTGCTGGTATTCTCATTTCCCCAAAGTTACTGAGAAATCGCACCCTCCCAGCATTGCTGCTGTGACTTTGGCACCTGCAGGCATGAGACACAGCTAAGTCATTGTTCTTCTCTGGTTTAAATGATTCCGTCTCCATTCTCTGGCCTCCTGAGCATGTGTTCTAGTTGATTGAAGATATTGCTTCAATACTCAGCTTCATTCCAGGATTGTCACAACTTGCTCAAAGAATAATAAGTTTTACTTTTAAAGCCCTACCTCTTCCTGCCTTTATACATGGAGCACACCCCCTCTCCCGGGCTTTTGTGTATCTGGAATTCGTAAACGAACCAATAGCCTAAAGACGATGTTTCTCACTTGCCTTATTCCTGTGTCCCATGGAGGAGGGTGTGGCACCTCACTCCACCAGCTCCTCCGCTCCCTCCTCATCAGCCAGTGTTCACAGAAGGCCTGCTGGGGCCAAGGGAGCCACTCGTTCGTGGCCAGCAGCACCAGGTGAGAGGGCACTTCTCCCACAGTAGGAACCTCAGAGACCACCCTTCATCTACCTGTTCTCTACCTTCTCCACCCTGAGGCCAGTGGCCCTGGTTTTCTGCATAAAGTCAAATCAGCAGAGAAGATGGTAGACCTGTAAAGAGATGTTTCATAAGAGCCTGTTAGGTGTCAAGATAGAGGAAAGGCCCAGGCCTGACCCCCGGGCATCCGCATGCATCCCAAGGGCTGACGACAAACTATGTGAGCCTCTGGACAAGAGTTCCTAGTTGACACATGGGCTCCAGGCCTGCCTGTCATCCCAGGTCAGCTTCTGCCACGACATCCCCAAAGACTTACCAGTTGTCATTGTATTTGAAACAGCACAGAATTCATTATATAATTCTAACTTTGACCTGGTATTAGAATTTAGTTATACTAAAATCATACTGTGAAATTGTGATAATTAAGAGGTGACTGATAAAAGGAGAATATTTAAGAATAGAATCTCCCTATACCATAGGTTTAGTTTACATTCCAAATCCACATGCTACCTCTGGACCCCTGATCTTGCCTGATTTCCTAGCTTAAATGTTTGCGGTATACCCCAAAATACACACACCTGCACAGACTCCTTTGGTGTCAGCAGAGAACCCATACTCTATAAGGCCCCTCTAGGTACCCACCGTGCTCTGATAGGGCCGAGGGCCCTTGGTCCTGGTCAGCACTTTCTTTCTCATCTCACTATTAATTAGAACGAATTTATTACCCAAAAGCCTTGGGGAGCTTGACAGGCTAAGAGTAGACCATGTTTAGACTGATTCAAAAGCTTTCTCCAAATTTAGGCAGTGAAAGAATCAGAAATGAACCTTTTCCCAGTTAGACCTGAACATACTGATACAGCTAAATTCCCTTCTGTTAATGTAATGCTCTTTAAAAAAAATATAGTTCTATACCCAAAGTGATATTATTCCTGGAAACTGAGTCATCCTAGCTGTTCTAATTCACTGATAATTTCTTATTAAATTCTTAACGTTTGGTTTGATAAGGAAAAGTTTCTTCAGTAACACTGCTTCATCTTTAATTGAATTTCTGCAGACGTGGTTAATCTCAGATATCTAATTAGATGTCTGCCTTTCCTACTTCATAGGCAGTTATTTTAGACATCTGTCCCTCTGGGGGCATGCGTTGGCTGTTTGGCTTTTACTCTTAGATGTTCCAAGACCATACAGATGTTCTCTCTTTAAGGAATTGCTTTGTGTGGTGTTACACATTGGAATGACTTCTAGATGAGAAAGCCCAGCTTCCTGGGAAGATGTTTGGGGCCCTCTTCATTCAAGACTTGAGACACCTCCCTACCGAATTCTTATTTACAACAAAATTGGAGAACCTGGTCCTCACTTACCCACTTCATACTCCTGCAAAGCACTTCCATCTTCCCTGGGAGGGGAGCCCTCGCAGTCCCATCAGGTGTTTTGGGTGGAGCTCAGAGAAGACTGAACCCTGCTCTGATCTTGTTCATTTTAAGTTCCGCTTTTCCAAAGTCCTGGTTCTTTTGTTCTCATGGTTCACTCATGTAACAGATTATCTCTTCCCTCTGGGGTACATGCCTTTTAAATTCTAGGAGTTCTTAGAGAAAATATAAATCCACCAGATGGATTAGCAATTATGGAATTGATGATGGATTTTTGATTGAGGCATTTTTCTAAATATAGTACTAGCCCATTATGTTTAAATTGAGTAGTAGTTGAAACTATGCCCTGTCATCATTTGAATTCCCTTAGGTTAACCTGCCATGTTTTCTAATGTTTTGTGCTGTTGATTAACTATCTTGCACTTTGGCTCATTGTAGGTGGTATCTTGGCCAACAAACAAAACTGCTTCGATGACTTTCAGTGTGCTGCTGAGTATCTTATAAAGGAAGGGTACACGTCTCCCAAGAGGCTGACAATTAATGGAGGGTCAAATGGAGGCCTCCTAGTGGGTAAGGACTGAATTTTATTCATTGTACTTACTAGGCACCACTCTTGGGATTTTCGTGTGCACTGTTGACAGTTCTTGATTTACTTTGGCTCATGGATGGCAGCAGTGGTACAAAGAAAACAAAACCCATTTGTATTTGGGCCTTAAGACCCAGCCGATGCTACATTCCCTAAACTTGACTTAGGGCAGCCTACAAAACCTGTCCGGCCTCCCTGCTCTGAGCTCTTCTGGGCTGGACTGCAATTCTCTCTCCAACCGGGTTGGACCCCTTCCCCCCACACTGGAGCCACAGGTTTCTAGTGTCCAGGCACAACAGTCCTGAGCCTGATAACCCCTCTGATTGTGTTAGTCAGGACTTGTACGATGTGATTATCACTAAACATTTGTTGAATAACTACACCCGGTGATGCCAAGTGCTGTGAGTACAGAGAGAAAAGTCGCGAGGGAAATGAGGTACGTATAAAGATGGATCTACAGCATAAGGGTAATGAAATAGTCACAGAAGTGTTTCCCAAAGTAGTGAGAACCTCGTGTGCCAGGCCCACTCTGAGACCTTGATGTACACGCAGCCTGGGAGATGGGGACTGGCAATGCCCCATCTTACGTAGGACACACCGGGCCACCGAGAGGTTGAGGAGCTTGCCCAGTGTGTCACGGTTGGAAGTGGTGAGGCTGGGGCTAGCACTGTGGTTTTAGATCCTGCTCTTTTAATCATTTTGTGGCACTGCTTCTAAGTACCTAATTTTTGGTAGTTAATGAAATTTGAGTTTGCATTTTTCTCAGACGCACTGAAAGTTGTAATGAAAATCTGTAGAGGACCTGAACTTTGCTGGCTGGGTCTTCTTACATCCAGTGTCATTAGCACATGAAGGGCCATTATACAATTTTCGGGGTTTCCATCCACAGCTGTGGAGGAGGGTGGCAAGTAGCAGTTCATACACTCAGTTTCCTTGTTTTGTGAATATACTGAGTCATGTCAGAATCTGAGTTCCTGTCCAAAATGATGTTCCATTTTAAGTTTAGAATGTGTATTGATGGCAATCTTAGGAACAACACAGACAGCTCCTCGGCCTTCCTGGAGCTTTCATTCTCGTCCTACGAGCAGGCAGTGTTCCTGAGGCCCTGAGCCCAGCACGGGCTGGGAGGGGTCTAGCAGCCGGGAGGAGACCCACGTCTGTGGCTGGGCACGGTGAGCAAGGAGGAAGTAAGCCGTGGCAGGACCTCAGAGCCAGGCTGGAGGACCTGGTTTACCCTGAAATAAGCCTTTGTGGGAGTTTTGAGAGAAGTATAATTTGACTTATTTTTTTCCATAGGATCATGCATTGATCCTATTACAGTGTTAGTGCAGATGGAAGGAGAGTCCAGGGCCAAAAAGCAGGCCAGGTGGGAGACTTCTGTCCCCGAAGGAACAGTGTGGCTGGCCCTGGGGTGTAGTGATGGAAGGCCTTCAGTCCACAGGCCAGCGCTCTGCCCACTAAGCCAAACCAGCGAGGGTGTGATGGAAGGCCGGGGAAGTGGTCAGGTTCTGGGAATATTTTGAATTGGAGACAACTGAATTTGTATGTGGATTACAGGTCAGGTGTAAGAGAGAGAAGAACTAAGGGCAAATTTAAGATTTAATAGGAGAAGCTATTGAAAATGCCATCCGCTTCCAGTCGTGGGATAATTGCTTTGTAATTTATTGGTTCGCCCAGTAACCCCTTTATATTTAGGCATTAGTTTGGGTCTGTTGACACACCTAGTCCCTTAAGAGATGGAGTCCCCCATCTGGATGCTAAGTGCTATTTAGAGGACAGTTTCCTGTCCTCCCCGCTTCTGAGGGGGAGGACAGGGATCTCTAAGGGTAGGACTCAGGATTCAATATGAGGAATAAGCCCTGAAATCAGAATTGGGGTGGGCACGATGTTTTTGCCAGCTGTGATGTGACTTCCTTCCTAACCGCCTTATACCTGGTTAGGTACCTCTACACCACACCTGAATTTTTTGAACACTGTCGTTGCTTCCTCGGTTTTTTATCTTTCCCACCTATCCCCAGGCCTAGTGCCAGGCATATGGCAGATGTTCAATAAATACAAAGAAGAATATTTTTAAAACAGGATAGAGCCCTGAGCTGGGTTTTAGGCCTATTCTGCCTTGGGCTGTACAAACTGTTTCTACTCACAACACTTTTCCGCACCAACCAGGTATCCTCCAAATCACTCTGTTCTGACACTACTTAGCACGGACCCCACAGAGTAAGGGCTCACACCCACAAGACTACTCCGAAGATGTCAGTCACCAGTCCTGGGCCTCCCAGGACCCCCTCCTCAGGTTCAAACTCTTTTCTTACATTTACCAGTTTGTTCTAAAGGACGGAACCCAGGAACAGTCAGATGGAAGAGCCGATTAGAGTAAGGTATAAGGAGGCGTAGGTGTGGCACTTCCATGCCCTCTCTGAGCACGACACCCTTCCAGCTCCTGAGTATGTTCCCTGACCTGGAAGCTGTCTGAACTCTGTTGTTTCAGGGGTTTTATGGAGGGTCTAGTATAGGCACAAGTGATTAGATGATTAGCCCTTAGTGACTGCGTAAAGCTCTAGCCCCTCTCCCTCCTCAGAAGCCAGAAGTTTTGAGGGAGAGATGACAGTTCCAACCTTCCAAGCACCTGATTGATTCCTCTAGCAGCTGGTCCCCATCCTGAAGCCATCTAGAGCCCACTAAGAGCCACCCATTAGCATAAACTCAGGCGCTGTTGAAAGGGGCTGGATTTGAATGACGAGACACTCTGAGTTCTGTGCCAGGAACAAGAACTAAAATGTATATTATTACACTAGAGGCCTGGTGCATGGATTTGTGCACCGGTGGGGTCCCTCAACCTGGCCTGTGGACATCCCCTGAGGGATCCCGGATTGTGAGAGGCACAGGCCAGGCCAAGGGACCCCACCGGTGCATGGTGGAGGCTGGGGAGGGACCATCCGCAGGAGAGCTCTAGAGTGTGTCCTGCCTGTCTTGCCCAGTCCCGATCAGCCGGACCCCAGCAGCAAGCTAACCTACCTGTCGGAACGTCTGCGCCCTGATGGTCAGTGTGCATCATAGCAACCGGTCAAATGAACGGTTGAACATTTAGCATATTAGGCTTTTATTATATCTGAGGCCCAGTGCACAAAATTCGGGGGGGGGATGTGGCAGGGGGCCCTTAGCCCATCCTGTACCCTCTCCAATCTGGGACCCCTTGGGGGATATCCAACTGCCGGTTTAGGCCTGATCCCTCCTAAACCGGCAGTCGGACATCTCTCTCGTAAGCTGGGACCGCTTGCTCCTAACCGCTCGCCTGCCTGATTGCCCCCTAACTGCCTGCCCCAGCTGGCCTGATCATCCTTAACCACCTCTGCCTTGGCTCGTGCCACCATGGCTTTGTCCAGAAGGTGTCTGGTCTAATTAGCATATTACCCTTTTATTAGTATAGATAGGATTGCAATATCACAGGCTTGTTTTGAGACCCCTCCCCAACAAGTTTCTTAACCTCCCTCACCTGTGAAAGCAAGTAGGGAGGAGAGGACACAGGTTTTTCAAATAACCCTCCCCCCCTTGAAATTTACTTTGGTGAGTAAATCTCTATTGCTGATGAGACTATCCCACCTCGGATATACTGGAAGGAAGGGGAAAGCTTATGGGCCATTAGGCAGGTGATTTATGATGGTTTCTTTCTGTGCTCTAAGGAAAAAGGCAGCCAAGGTTCTGAAAGCACCTACGTGTTCTTTTGCTCTGGTTTATTTAGCTGTTTAATAATAGACTGCCTCCCTTTTCTTTCTGTCTCGGTTTTTAGCTGCTTGTGCAAATCAACGGCCTGACCTCTTTGGTTGTGTTATTGCCCAAGTTGGAGTAATGGACATGCTGAAATTCCATAAATACACCATCGGCCATGCCTGGACCACGGATTATGGGTGCTCAGACAGCAAACACCACTTTGAATGGCTTATCAAGTAAGGTTTTAATTCATATTGATGTATATGTTGCTAGCGATTTGATATCCCTTTGACTGACTGTTCAGACTTACTAGTATGTCTTTAACTCCTTACTCTCCTCCGTGTCTCATATTTGTATATAATTTACTGCAAAAGTAAGGGAAGTGATAGGAATACCTGTCTTCCTTATTTTGATCTTATCTTTAACAAAAACAAACTACAGAGGTGTGAAAGGCAGAATCTAAATGTGCTCTCCGCCCCCCGCCAACATATCCATCTCCTCTTACACACTAATCCAGGCACTGCTGTGAAGGGACTTTGCAGATTAAATTAAGGCTACTAATCATCTGACATTAAACTAAGATTATCCTGGATTGTCCAAGTGGGCCCAGTCTACAGGGACATACCCTTAAAGGCAGAGCACTCTCCGCTGGAGTCAGGGATGCAGGGGAAAGGGAGGCCACAGAGATCGGAGCATGAGGGGGACTTGACCCTCCAGGGCTGGCTTTGAAGATGAGAGGAGGGGCCTCTAGAACCTCAGTCCTCTAGCTTCATGGAACTGGGTTCTGCCAGCAACCTACATGAGTCTGGAAATAGAATTTTTTCCAGAATTTCAGCCCAGCCAGGTGACGCCTTGATTTTAGTCTGGAGAGATCTAGAGCAGAGAACCCAGTTGAGCCAATCCGGACTTCTGACGTACAGAATTGTGAGATAAAAAAATCAGGGTTGTTTTAAAAAGCTACTAAATTTGTGGTACATCCCTCAAAAACCACTTTTTTTAAAAGGTGTCATTATACCTTACATCAATGTATATGGGATTTCCTTTTTTAAATTAAGAAAATAGAGAGGAATATGTGCAAATACAGTTATACTTACCTTGTGCTCTCAGCATAACCACGAGTGTTTGAAACTACAGGCTGTGTATGGAAATACTGTGCAGCTTCCCTTTCATGTCCCTCCACCATTTTGGTGATAGCGAGACAATGGCAGACAGATTCTCAGGACTGAGAACTACATTCTTTTTTGCCTCTTCACTCTCTTTACTTACCACATGTAGGGGTTCAGGGATTATCAACAGTATTTAGGAATTGCCCTTGGAATAACAGGAAGCCTGTGTCCCAGTCTTCTCGGTCAATTATAAAGTTATCAAGTTTTTTCTTTCATTTTATAGGCTTTTTATGGCGAGGTCTCTCAGTTAGAAATTCAGCTAAAATGACTTGAATTACTAAATTTAGTTCTTTGACAAGAGAGTTGGGGGGACTTTACTTTGTAAAGCTGTTATTAAGTGTACAAATAGCCTCATTGGCACATACTGGTAAAAGTCGAATATTTGAAGAAGCCATCGTTCAAATTAACTTAGAAAAAAATAAGCATTTGGGGAGGGGGGGGGATAAGTCCCATTTTAAACTCAACTGAAAATACTGAGTTAATTGGACAATGAAGACAACAAAATATTTGATGGAACCTGATATTTCTAAAATGGATTTGAAAGCAAAAAAAGAGAAAAAGTTCTAAATATTGTTGCTCTTAAGATGTCTGTGATAAACGGGGTGGGCAAAAGTAGGTTAATGGTTGTAGTGCAAAACAGTTTACTCTTGTATTATTATTTATTGATTTTTGTGTTATGGCTGTAAACCTCCTTTTGCCCACACCTATATATTCTCTCTGGATTTGAATTTTCCAGCCTAGCACTCATCGGCCTGCATTTACCTCTTTATCAGCTGCTCCCATTGAGCAGAGAGCTCAGCCTCACACACTAAAGCCAGAAGGGGCCCTATAAGGACCTGCTCAAGCCCTGCACCCCTGGCCTGGAGTGTGTCCCAGGAAGCACCATGCTCCCCCCCCCGCCCCCCCAAAAGAGAGCTGGATAAATAAAGCCTAACAGATTAGAACTTCTTAGAATCTTTAACATATAAATGTGGCATGTGAAAGGAGTGGGGGAGGTTTGTAATGTTAATAGGCAGAGTTTCCCCATAGAACTAACTATTATCTGGAGGGCTGGGGCTAATCCATAAACACTCTGAAATGAGATCAGAAAACAGTCCATTGCCCCCATCGCATCTACTGGGAGCAATGAAACTCGACTAAAATAGTTGATTATGTTAATGCTGAACCCTTTGAAAAACATGACACCGCCCTGGCCGGTTTGGCTCAGTGGATACAGCGTCGGCCTGTGGACTGAAAGGTCCCAGGATCGATTCTGGTCAAGGGCATGTACCTTGGTTGCGGGCACATCCCCAGTGGAGGGTGTGCAGGAGGCAGCTGATCGATGTTTCTCTCTCATCGATGTTTCTAACTCTCTGTAAAAGGTCAATAAAATTTTTTTTTTAAAAAAAGAAAAACATGACACCCATATTGAATAAAATATTTTAAAAAAGTATCCAGAGATTTCCTTCACTTAACTAGTATGAATCACTGTGTAACTCAACTGTGCTTTCCTTCCAAACTCTTTTTGTTAACGTGACTGGCAACTCACCTTATACTTCAGAAGGCGCCTTCTCTGCTCTTTCACGGACGTTCTCGCCATTGGCCAAAGGCGGTTTCTCTGCTGGAGCCAGCAGCCCGGCCCAGGTGCACGGGCAGGAAAGTAGGCCGTGTGATCCTCCCAGAACTGCCGAGCTGAGCCTGTAATAAAGGTTTTACAGACATTAAAGGGCAGGAAGCGGATTTCAAGTTCTTCAACAAAAGAAAGGCTTGCACCTATTACATCCACAGTCAGTGCTTTAAAAAAAGTCGGTCCCTGGCTGGGCGGCTCAGTGGTTGAGCATCGTCCAGTACACCAGAGGTTGCAAGGTCAGTAATTCCCGGTCAGGGCGCGTACAGGAGGCAACTGGTCAATATTTCTCTCTCCCTGAAAATCAAGAAAAACATATCCTCGGGAGGGTTTTAAATAAAAACAAAGACATTCAGTCCACTCAGTACTAATGAAAAAAATAAGAATCTGAAAATACTCAGTTCCTGACGATCAGTGTGCACAGAGGTGTAATTATTTCAACAGCCCGTGAGTTTCGTGTCTTATTCAGTCCTTCAAAGTAGGAGCCAAATAAACGACAGAGCTCTTCCCAATCTCCAGTGGCCCTGGCCAGGTAAGGCCAAAATCGCGGTGCAAGCAGCCTGCAGTCGTCGCCATAGAGTGGCTGCGGGCCTGTGGCTAATGATGTTAGGCTGGTAAATCGCGTAGGTCACCCTGCCCTCCTTCATTGTCCTAGTGAACAAACAGCTCCGCTTTTGCTATTTAGATCATGAAAGTGCCTTTGCCTTTCAGGTATTCTCCGTTACATAACGTGAAGCTACCAGAGGCTGACGGAATCCAGTACCCGTCCATGCTTCTCCTCACCGCCGACCACGATGACCGTGTGGTCCCGCTTCACTCCCTGAAGTTCATTGCCACCCTGCAGTACATCGTGGGCCGCAGCCGGAAGCAAAGCAACCCCCTGCTTATCCACGTGGACACGAAGGCGGGCCACGGGGCCGGGAAGCCCACAGCCAAAGTGATAGAAGAAGTGTCAGATATGTTTGCATTTATAGCGCGGTGCCTGAACATCGACTGGATTCCGTAACGGAGCTGCCCACGCCCTCCTGACAGCCACACAGAACCTCAAGGGCTTCCCCACCGTTAAACCCGAGAAACCACTGGGCGTGCTGCTTCCCACGTGAACACTGTTCCTGCACTCACAGACTGCCGTTGAGCAGAACTGCTGCGGGAAGCATTTTATCTTTTTTAGCCTCCTCCTTTTTAGCAAGCCCTTGGCGTTTTCTGTGTTTGTTTTCTCCCTTCTACCCTGTGCAGGCACATGTTTAAAAAACAAAACAGAAAAACAGGCATGTTTGGGTAAATAAGGAAATGGAAGTCAACACAACGTGAATATTAGGTTCCTGAATTAAGAGTCGTAGTTGGGCATCCTTCGTATATAGCACCTCATGGAATCTGCTTCTATAATCATAACCAGTATATCTCTACATAAATGTGAGACCTGTTCTCATGAATGACTTCTTTGCAACAACAATAAATGTTATTTAAGAACAGGAGGCGTGGTTTCTGGTTCCTTTGTGTTGAGGGGCAGCTCCAGATGTGCAGTCATTCCGGATCCTGTCGCTTTTCTGTGGAAATAAGCAGTTTGCCTTTCCACACAGATTAATTTCTAAACAATGAAGTCATGGGATGTTAGCACTAGAAACAAGTTGAGTGCGCCCATCGTTTGTGCGTGATGAAGCTATTAGAGGTGGCTCATCGTCTTAAAATTTACTACTCAGTCGGCTCAGAATCTGGGCCTCTTAGGTTTGGATGCCTCCTCTGAAAAATGAGTGGGCCAGAAAGTAAAGATTATGCACCTGCTTGTCTATCAATTTGGTTACAAAGTATCACTGGAAATCAGAGTACAGTACTAGGATATAAAACTAAGAGACCACATGAGTGAACTATCCAAACAGATACATTTATCCAAACTTATAGTCAGAAATTTCAGCATTTCCCCAGCTGTTTTTTCCCCCATAGACCACTTTCTGGAAATAGAAAAGGTCATATTTTAAAAGAAAAAAAAGGGTTTGCCCTGGTCAGTGGTGCTCAGTTGGCCTCGCACCAAAGGGTCATACCTGGGTTGCAGGTTTGATCCTGAGCCCCCAGTGGGGGCCCAAGTGGGAGGCACATGTTTCTCTCACATTGATGTGTGTGTCTCCCCCTCTCTCCCTCCACTTTCTCTCTTTTTTTTTTTAAATATATTTTATTGATTTTTTTACAGAGAGGAAGGGAGAGAGATAGAGGGTTAGAAACATCGATGAGAGAGAGACATCGATCAGCTGCCTCCTGCACA